GTGTCTACTGAATTTCACAAGATGGTAGGAAGGGAACTCATTGAATTTAGCTATTAGAATAGCTCTGGTGGAAAACGAGTGTGAGGAGCAAGAAGGAATGAAGGGCACGCACATTCAGAGACCCTAGGATAATGTTAATGTAGATCTATTTTTCAGGGTGTATTTTATATAATGAAGATATATTTAGTATGTGGAAAGTAAAATAATTTTATTTTAAAATTTTGACATAAGGGGTTCTCAAGGGCACATGCCTGGGTTGGGGCTCAATCCCCAGTAGGCAGGAGGCAGCTGATCAATGATTCTCATCATTGGTGTTTTTCTCTCTCTCTCCCTCTCCCTTCCTCTCTGAAATCAATAAACATATTTAAAAATGAATAACGTGTATATAAAATACATTATATTAAAGTATTTTTGATCTATAATCTCACCACTGAGTTGGCCCCTGTTAAGATTTTACTGGTCCTACTTCATCAATTCTAGGATGCAAAATGTTTACTTGTTCACATTGCTATGGTGACTCGTAGTTGCCGCAGGCCCTACAGAGGTCCCGGTCTCACAGAGGAGGTCTGTATTTGCCTTTGTCAGCCATCTGGAGACACCACCAAGCTGAGACTATTTTGAGTTAAATTCTCTGCTTGAGGTTCTTTGAACCACGCTGGTAGTATGAATTTAAAATGCAAGCTAGGGTGATCCCTGGATTATATTTCCAATTCTTTGGTGGGGTTTGTTTCTCCCTCCACCCAAAGGCAAAATGGAGAGAAGCAAGTTTCTGGCCCTCTGCATGGGAGGTTTATTTGTCACAGCTGTATACAGTGTATCATCTTAAATTACCCATTATGGGTATTTTTTATTCTTAGTGGCAGGTAAATCATGGTATATCTTAGAATAGATGATAGATTTAGATATTTTTCTTTTCTGTATTTACATGTAGAAATCATACTGTATATAATTTGTATGTTTATTCTTTAACCTCAGAACACGACCATTTTGCTATTCTGTTAGAACTTGTTATATGCATTATTTTAATGGTTTTCATTGTATGTTTGAAAAATTTACTTAACCATTCTCACTCTCATTGTTGGAAAATCAAGCCCTTTCCCTTTTTTTGTTGTGCCTAAAGCGTTGGCCAAATTCCACTCGGAACTAACACTAGATACCTATTACACGCCAAGCCCTGCTGTGGAGAAGACAGACATCCCTTCTCGTCAGGCATACAGCCTGGCAGGGAAGACAGCTAGCAAGCAAGAAATGAAATCGAGAATGAGGGGTGACAGGCAGGGCAAATGCAACCAACCATTGAGGTTGCTGACTCTGACAGGCTGCCAGAGGTGAGAACACCGGGTTAAACTGTATTCATGTTCTTAAGGTTCTCGGTTGTACTGCCAAATTGTTGACTCACAAGTGTGTAGGGGCATCAATTTAATTTCATTCCTGTCCAAGTTAGATATGGCCACTTAGAATATTTTTTGCCAATTTTTTGGATGTAAATGACATTTTGCTTTAACGTAATGTTTTGTGACTGCATCTAATCTTAGTTTCCAAGTATATGCTATTGACTGTGGTTCCTCTTCAGTGCATTGTCTGATCATGATGCCTTTTGCTCACTTATCCTGTGGGGTCTTGATGCTCTTCTTATCAATTTGCATTTGCATAACTTCTGTATGCACTAAGAATATTCATCTTTTGGCTGGCATAATTTTAGTTAATATCATTTCCAATTTACTGTGTAGCTTAATGCTGCTTAACTGCTTGATGAAATGTTGAAGCTCTAAATTTTATGTAGTCAAAGTTAGCAGTTCTTTTGGTGATTTCTTGTGCTGCTTTAACATTTGGGAAGTTGGTCCCCACCCAGAAATTTGGCCAACATTCACTTTTATTTTCTTTCTTTAGTTACTTATTGATTTTCCACATTTGATATCTTAATCTATTCAATATTTATATGTGATATGAAATAAAACTAAATTTTTTTTTAATTGAATAGTTACCCAATAACTGCTACACCACTTATAAAAAAAAAACCTTCTGGGTCCTATGATTATAATTCCCTTTTAAAGAACAATATTAAATTACTGATATTTACTAACCTATGTATTCTTCACCATTGACCTGTCTATTCTTACACTACCACCACACTAAGTATATATGCATAAAATAATATACATGTAGCCAGCTGGTGTGGCTCATTGGTTGAGTGTTGACCTATGAACCAGGAGGTCACGGTTTGATTCCAGGGTTGTGGGCTCGATCCCCACTGTGGGGTGTGCAGGAGGCAGCTGATCAATGATTCTCTCTTATCATTGATGTTTCTCTCTCTCTCTCTCTCTCTCTCTCTCTCTCTCCCTTCCTCTCTGAAATTAATAAAAATATATTTTAAAAATCAATATGCATGTACAATTTAGTTTTATTTCTGAGAAAGGTAGTCTACTCTTTTTTAAATCTTCTATTTCTTTGAAAATTATTTTTCCTTTTGAAATTTAAAATCATTTTATCCAGTTTCCCTCCAAAAAAGAGAGATATTTTTTCCCTTAAAATGGCACAAGAATTACATATTCACTGAAGAAGAATCAACCAATTTATATAACTAAGCCATTTTATTCTCTCTGCCAGGAACAGTCTTCCTACCAGGTAAGGTTTCTGCACCTCCATGATCAGCCTGCATAATTAGTTGACCAGGGCAAATACTAGTGGTCCAGATAGGAGTTCAGACTCCGGGACAAGCTGAGGTGTAACAGGGTGAAATTAAGAATGCGAGTGGAGGCGATGAAGAAAATAATCTTCCTAATGGTTTAGGGACTATCTACACCCTTATCTGTCCCATGACACTGTGGACCCAAAGCCATCCAGAGACATCCTGGGGTTCCTGATCTGTCTCGGATTCCCGACTTCCTAACATCTACTTCATGCATTAGACCACAGTAGCTGCAACGACAGCCCCATCTGCACTGATATTTCTCTTCACTTCTCCCAGATCTTCTGGGCTGCAGGCACTTGTTGGTGTTGAAAGGACAGTAACTTATATACCTCAGAGGCTGAGCTTAGGTTGGTGTAGGGATTGATAAAATAGAATCTATATTCAAACTTACTGAGTTACTTAAAATCAACATATCCCTGCCTTTCAGGCCTCTGAAATTTGTATTGGAGTTGAAATTTAAAAATCTGAAAGCTCATAAAAGATATTCCTTTGACTATAGTGTCCATCATGAGGATACATACAATGTACAGCATGCACCTTGATTCATAGCACCTACTATGTGTCAGGCCCTGTTCCAGGGAATGGAGATAGAACATCAAATAAGAGTTAAGTTCCTGTCCTGATGGTATTTAAATTCTATTGGGGATGGGATGGGGGAGACAGGATTTTTTAAATGAACCTTTAGATATGTAATATATGATAGCCCTAAGTGCTGTGAAGAAATGTGACCCAGGGTAAGGGGCCAGAGGATGGGTGATGGAGACTATGTGGGGTTGTTGGGAAGACCTCTCTGATAAATAACCTTTGAGGGGACACCTGGAGGAAGCCCAATGAGTGAGATGTGTGGGGAAGACTGGCATCTGGAGGAACAGGAAGGAGTATAGAGCCGAATGTGTAAAGAATCACACATTAGCCCTGGGCCTTAGAACCAGGGCTGGCTGTGAATTTTGAGTGGAATGGGAGGCCCCAGAGGATCTGAGGACAGGATCCTTTAAAAAGCATCCCTTTGGCTATTGGGTGGAGAACCAACTGCTGTGAGGTTTGGGGCAGGCAGGTAGGAAATGGGAAAGGAGTGACAGAGGAGAAGGGGTGAAGGGATTGGTGAAGAGAGAAAGTGGAAAGTGGGTGACAGGCAAAGGGGAACCAAAGACCATCAAGAGAAGGGAAATTAAGTTTGCTTTGAACAAGATCAGACTCACCCTCAGGACTTCTCTCTCTTTGGGCCCATGTTTATCATGTAAATAACTCTCCTGTGTGTTACCTGAGTCTATGGAGGGGCTCAAGTACATCATTTTCTTTTTTCATGAGCTGCTTTTCACATACTTTCTCTTATAAAGTGGTATGGGTGACTTTTTTTTCTTCAAAGAGTTTTTACACTTCCTGGTTGGGGGCGGAGGGGGGGGTCTCTCTCAGACAGAAATTGAATAATGTATACTAAAGATATCCAAACTTCGAAAAAACATGTTTTTTTTTACAAAATAAGGCTTTGGAGGCCGAAGTAATCGCCATTTTCAAGGGATACATATCTGTTTCTATGTGTTACTGATCTTTCTAGCTTTTCTTTTGTCAGTTTGAAAGTTTGTATGTTTCCTTGAAAGTTTTAACTGTCAATACCTGGAGGTGGGAGGGTGGCTGGGGCTTTGTCGGGGGCTGAAGTTAAGGCAGGTGTATCTGGCAAAGACCTAAGGTGTGTGTGCATTAGGGAGATGAACTCCAGCCTGGAAATGTTAGAGCAGTGGTTCTCAACCTTGGCTGCACATTAGAATCACCTGGGAATCTTTTTAAAATCCTGATTTCTGGCCTCATCCTCCGGAAATTCTGTTTCTTTGTTATGGGGTGAGGCCACAACATTGGTAACAAAGGAACAGAATTTCCAGAGGATGAGGCCCAGAAATCAGGATTTTAAAAAGATTCCCAGGTGATTCTAATGTGCAGCCAAGGTTGAGAACTAGAGGCTGCTTAAAGATCATTATTACACCCAGGTGATGCTGAATTCTAATGAACTCCTTTTAGCCATCGGTGGGGAGTGCGAGAGAGGGGAGGGGAAGATTTCTAAATGGCAGGTGTAAAAGAGTGAAAATGATTTATTTCCAATAATGAGCTTGTAGCACATGGGTACAGGGAGACTAGGTGTGATGTCCACAAGAGTTTTAACATAAATTGAATTTAATTACTCAAAGCATTGCTGGCACTTTCTTTAATCAGAATGGAAATAAGGACAAGCTGAGATCTTAGGACACGTGGTCCTTAAGGGAGAAAATGAAGGGTGTGCCTCAAGCAGCGGTGAGTGAGCAGAGGGAAAGGCAGGCTAGGATTGCGGAACTGGCTGGCCTCGGTTCTCTCCCGACTTCTGCATCTCGATACTGTGCCCCTCTGACAGGCCTTCTCGCCTACCGGGTAAAGTTCTTTGGCTGAGATGGATGACAACAGTATTAACAGAGAACTGAAGCAGAAATTAAACTTCTCCTGTTGTGAGGAAGAGAGTGAGAACAAAGAGCAGAAGGAAGCACCGGAGGGCTGGGAGGCCCAGACCCTCACCCCAGAGCAGTCTGTACCCAAGGATTCAGAGGCCCTGTTTACACCACCCAGGACACCCCTGAGGGACGCACACGGACTCCACACATTTCAGGAAAAAGCCAAAGTGAGTCCAGAGCCTGGTTTTGGGACCCTGGTGTCAGAACCACCCAAGTGTCCTACAACACCAGCCCAGCCAGATGACAGAAGCAAGCTGCTGTACTGCGAGAGTCCTGTCACTCCCAAAGTGAGTAAGTTTTGGGGAGAGGGGCCCAGGTTCCTTCAGTTCAGCTATTAGAGAAAGAGGACTGGTCCATTATGTGTATAGGGTGGATTTGCCTCCCAGGCTGTCTTATCCCCAATTCCGTATTTATTGGTAAAAATAAATAAGAGCTTCAGGTTATCAAAAAACAGAATTAAATGTCTCACCAGCTGTCTTCCCAAAACCACTGCTGCCAGCAACTATTTGGTGGAGGCCACAAATAAATGTTGGGTGGGGGGAAAGTTCCTAGTTAAAGAATATCGGCACTGGAAGGAATATTGAGATCTAGAGCCCACCCCAAGTGTACAATACCAGAGAAAATCAAGGTCAATGCCAGAGACAGGACTAGAAACCTGATCTTTTGGTCTCAGTCTATTCTTTCCATTATGCCAACTATTCTTTTATGATTATTTACTCATATTTTCTAATATAAGAATGTTCATATTCTGTTTGAACATATTCGTATCTCCTTATGGCTGCTTTTCCCAGAGGGAAGTCCTCTCCCTTCCCTGGCCTTGTAACGTTCAGGCTCTTCTGTTATATGTGAGCAAAGAGGTAACCTGTGACACTTCTGTATAAGCCGAGGATTGCCGATAAGCAAAGGTCCTGAGTAGTTGGCATATTCCTCTAGTCCTGTTGTAACTGGTCTCCTGCTACATTTTTTGTGTTATTCAAGCCAGAACTGGGACAGGGCTACCTCTAACAGGCTGGTGCTGTGGTGTGTGAGCCTCAGGAATGGTATTAGCTCTACTTTCTGCTGGCTCAGCTTGAGGTACTTAAGTTCATCATCATAACATCTGTGCTTCTGATTGTAGCACAGTCACTGTCGGCAGGTCTCTTTAGTACCTGCTGAGTGTGGGCACTGTGTCTACAGGAAATACTAAGCTTCTTGTCTGAATTGTAGACAAACTACTCTAGTGTCCATCAGTGAGTTTTTCAAAGGTCCCAGTACTTACCAATCAATCATCCACTGACCTTTTTTTTTTTTTTTTTTTTTTTTGAGAACCTACTGTGGGCAAGGAGCATAAGACAGTCTCCGAGAAAGAGGAGATGTGCCTATAGACACTATGTAATAGGTGCTTCAAGAGTGGTCAGAGTTCACTGGGTGGATTGCTTCTCAGTGGTGATCAGGAAAGAAATAAAGGTGAAGGAAGCATATGAAGGTCAATGAAGTTGGTATGGTTTTAACATATAGAAAGTAGAGAGTGGCCTGAGAGAATATGGTGCTGAGCAAAAGTACACAGGTGAGAAGACATGACATGGTGTGTATATTAGTCATTCATTTAAAAGCTAACTGAACATCTTGATATGCTAGCTGACCCTCAGCTGTCACACCCATTTACTGCTTTCAAAGAGTGACCACAAAATAAAGATACATGCAATACTGAAACAATAATTAAAGTTCAGATCAGATATGTTAGAAGAGTGGTACTACATAATGAGAAAGAATTAGAAATTAAGTCTCAAGATATCAGAGAAGCCTTTCCCAAGAGACCAGCGTTTGAGAGAAATCTTAAAGAATGAGTTGGAGGTTACCAGGCAAAGAAGAAGGGAATGAGCACTTGAGGCCAAATGAAAAGCTTCTACCAAATTGTCAAGGGGAAAGACCATGCTGCCCCTGGAAAACTGCATGTTACTCAGTAGTGACAGGGTCTATACATGCGAAAGTGCAGGCAGTGACGCCAGAGTTGGTAGGCAGGAACTAGATCAAGACTTTATCCTAAAAGTGCTGAGAAGGCCAGTAAATGGTTTTGAGCAGAGGCACCTTTGAAAAATCATGACCTTCATATGAAGGATGGAATTGAGCAGGAGAGATCCTGGAGGAAGGGCAGTATTCACATTGGAATTGTTGAGAAAGGAGAAGGACTTGAATTACAACAGCAATAAATTGAGAGATGTTTAGGAACTGCTAACTGACTTGATGGAGGAGTTGAAGGAAGAAGAGAGAGCTGGGGTGCAACCAGGCTTCTTGTTTGAGTACATGATACCTTGAATCAAGACAGGTGACACTTGAGGATGTACAGGTTTGGCAAAAGCAGAGATGTCATGCAATTGGATAAATGGGTCTGGAGTACAGGGAGACAATCTAAGTTGGAGATCTATATATGGGCACCATCAGCATTTAGGAAGCTGTTGAAGCTTTAGGTGGATAAGTTCATGTAGCCTGAGTAAGGAGGGAAGTGGTTTGAGTTAGGAGTCTTGAATAATGCCAAGATTTGAGAGACAGACAGAGGACAGAGTTTGGGAGGGAAACTGGAAATTCAACTAGGAAAGTACATATTTTATGAAGAATAGAGTTTGGCTCAGGGTCAGAGGAGGGAGGCTACTGCAATAATAATTGGAGATGTTATCCCAAAGTCAAGGATGCATAGGGAAGGAATGTTGGTTTAGTTTAGCCTTGCCAAAGGATAGGGCCAGAAATCACCCAAAATGTCTTCAGCTCACCATAAGGACTTCCTAGCAGGATGGAGATAGAGACAATAGAGCTTCCTTAGGAAGTAGTAAGGCCCTTGTCACTGAAAGACCACTTGATAGAGACATAGAAGGGATTTGAGCACCAGGGCACTAATTATAGTGACTGGGCCTTTGAAGTTTTTCCCAGTCCCAAGACACTGATGATGTTGTGCCTTAGTGGGAGGTTGCCACCTTCTCACACCATGTTCAGAAGTCAGGGAGCTATCGCCCAAACTTCCTTTCTTTTTCTAAATCATCTATAATAGAGGTGTTAAACTTATGGAATTAGCTCCACTCTCTGGAGCATATTTATACCCTCAACCTGGTCATCTTTCCAGAAACTTTCAATCTGCTTTACTTTTATGAAATTTCTTTCATGAATCTGGTCCAAAACTATGTTCTTATAGGTTTCAAAAGGATTACTCATAATTCTGTCATTCTGGCAATACAGTCTTTATTAATATAACTAATATCCTTCCCTCTAGTCTAAGTGGAGCTCGCAGAATCTACCAGCCTTCACATTTCCAAACTAGGAATTCAGACATTATCTGCCCTGATGTGAACACTTTTCCTTCCTTTTATCTGAAAAATGTCCAGGCCTTTTTTGCTCTCCTGGGGGTGTGGCACCCAGAGCTGTGCAGCATTCCAGGTGTGGATGCCCCACTATTTTTTTATAGTAGATAGATGTGCTTTACTTTCCATACGATGATCAGCATCACAAAAAACTGTTTCTCAGATAATGATTCACTATCATTCCAGGTCCATTTCCTGAATCACATTGACAACAGAAATATTATCCAGTTGTACTTCTGTTGAACCAATACTCAGCCCTATAATAAACTTACAGGAAGACTGTGAGTTTGTCATTGATATTTCTCTCTCACATCGATATTTCTCCCTCTTTCTAAAATCAATGAAAAAATGTTAGGTTACTATGTGTGCTTCCTTCATTTCTGCTTGTATCAATCACTTAGTGAATATGTATAAGTTCAGTATTCATTTTTTGTAGCCTCACATTCTTTAAATTACGTTTGCATACAGTGAATCATGTTGTAATCTACCTTCTGCGTCTACATTGAAAAGTCATGGGCAGAGACTATGAGAGAGTAGGATTCTTTAAGAAAGAGCCTCACAGTAGAATGCTTATGCTACGAGGTTTATCATGGCCCCTGTGTCTACCATGTACTCCTGAAGACCTATGACACAGGTATTCCTCTGGCCCCTGCTATCTAGGTCATAATGGCATTCTGCTGTCTCATCAGAATTCTCTGTCTTTGACCTCTCCCCTCTGTCTTCTGGTTTAGTTCTGGATAGGTTTTAGGCCTGTGTTCTCTTACTGTAACCTACTTGGAGTGGTAAGTCCTGCACATTTTCTTCTCATTGACATACTAATTAAAGCCACTGCAAAGCCTTACAGCCCAAGGGCTTAGGGCAGGGGTGGGCAAACTTTTTGACTGGAGGGCCACAATGGGTTCTTAAACTGGACCGGAGGGCCAGAACAAAAGCATGGATGGAGTGTTTGTGTGAACTAATATAAATTCAAAGTAAATATCATTTCATAAAAGGGTACGGTCTTTTTTTTTCAATAGTTTTATTCATTTCAAACGGGCCGGATCCGGCCCGCGGGCTGTAGTTTGTCCACGGCTGACTTAGAGCATCACTTCTCCATTTTTTTTTTAACCCCACTTCATGGAGCTCTTCTCATTTGGTGCCTACATTTTAAGAGGAATTGGAAATATTTTCCTCCATGTTGAGTCTATGCAATCTTTCCCTTACAAAGTGAAACATCAATGAACAGCTACTTAATGGACCATTTACGAGCTGGAATTCATCTCTGCACCCCTCACAGCACCCAGCTCAGAGTCAGCTTCTTAGTAAGCAGCAAACACATATTTCGATAAATGAATGAGGGGGCGTTAAAGTACACAGTCTGAGATGTAAGGACCAGGTCTTCTAAAGTCATTTTCATTTGTCTGAGCTTAAATGTCATCCTTAAAAAGTTGGAGGTGGGACTCAATTTGGTGGTTTTCCAAGCTGGTGATCAGAAGTGCCTAGGGCAGCGGTTCTCAGCCTGTGGGTTGTGACCCCTTTGGGGGTCGAACGACCCTTTCACAGGGGTCGCCTAAATACATCCTGTATATCAGATATTTATATTACGGTTCATAACAGTAGCAAAATTACAGTTATGAAGTAGCAACGAAAATAATTTTATGATTGGGGGTCACCACAACATGAGGAACTGTATTAAAGGGTCGGGGCATTAGGAAGGTTGAGAACCACTGGCCTAGGGGAAAGAGGGGGAGTGTAATGACAGTAGATTTCTCTGTGGGTCCCATGAATCAGAATATCTAGTGGTAGACTGGGAATCTGTATTTCTCACCAGAGGACCAGTTATGAAGCAACTAGTTTGCACTGAACCAGATAACGTTCAAGACCCCTTTCATCAATAACAGTCTTTGGTTCAAATATTAACTAGCTAACTGTATGGAACTTTTTTTTAACATCATCCTGATTTGCCTTATGTCATCCTCAGGGCCAGCCAAGCCAGTCCATGATTTCTTCAACAGGGAAGCTGCCCTCCCGAGGCTCTAAGCATTTTAGGCTCACACCTGTCTCCGTAACAGATGAAATGACCTCATTAGCCCTGGTTAATATTAATCCCTTCACCCCAGAGTCCTATAGAAAAGAGTTCCATCAATCCAGTGGCAAGAGGAAAATCCGAGGAGATCTGTAAGTATACCGTGGCCAGTGATTTTTGAGAACTGATCTTACTATGGTCAAGAGGAAGAGAGAATGTTGAAGTGAGATTAGGAGCAAGAACTCTTTTAGAAGGAAACTGGCATTGGTTACATATCCCCTCCTTTCTGAATGTCAATGTTGGTTTCCCCTTGCGTGGGTTGTCACAGAGATTCTAGCATCTTTCCATTCTGAAGTGTACTGTGAGGTGCCTTCTATAAAGGGACAGCAGACCTCTGACTTCCATTAGGAAGTTAAATGGGCTATGGAATTGCCTTCAAGGGGTCTCCTGTGGTCAATAGGAGGTTAGCAGTTGGGAAAAGTACAGTTCACACTTCAAAGAGTCTGTTACTGTTTCTAGTGCAGCTTGTCTGACTGGTGATGAGAGCTGTGGGGCAAGGATTTGAACTTCTCTGCAGGTGTTGGAAGACTGGCTGAAGAGAAGAGTGTTGCTTTCAGAAGTGGTAAAAGCCAAACGGCACCACTGTGTGTCTCATGCAGGGACATTTCTTTACCATGTCCCCCCAAGGCTCCTTTTTCATAGAAAGAAGCCACCTCTAAAATGAGCCAGTCTCTGTGCCTGATAATGTACTTGGCAAAATAAATGCACAGCTAGCAATCTGAAGTTTGCAGAGCATTTAATGTGTTACCTTAAGTTGTTTCTTTGGGGATCAATGACTATATATTAACCAGCCTTAGGCCTAGAATAGGTTTTCTCAACACTGCCTCCTGGATCTTAAGTAAACAGGACTTCAGCATAAGTAAACCACCCACTTTTGTTACCAAGAATTCTGTTGGTTTTAGCTGCTTAGGAGTATTTGTAAGTCATCAGAATTTGTGGTTTCACTTGCACTGAAGCCAGCCGGACTAGACAGTTCATCTGAATTCCTGGCAACAGAATTGGTGACACTTTAGTAATGTTGCTTAGTGCTGAGAGGGCATTTTTCTTACTTATTGTATTTAATAAAGTTTCAAATGTCATATCCAATTTAGGTCACACATGTCAAGTATCAATTTATTTCCACAAGTGTGATGCCCTCCATTTGCCATTAATACTCTGTACTTCTCCAGAAGAAAAATCTATAACTTGGCTGAAAGCAAGATAGAGATTAAAATCTTGCTTAAAGATTCAGGATGCAACTGCTCATGCCAAAGAGAAGGTTTGTCAGAGACTTCAGCTAACCTACTAGTATTTTTATTAGCTTGGCATTACACTCATAGATTAGGAGAGTTGAGATTTTTACAACAACTTTTGTGTTTGTTTGTTTTTTTATAATTTCTATTTAATCTTTGTGTGTTGTTTCTGACATTCTTTGTTATTTAAGGTTTCTAAATTCTATGTAGTTAAAAAATGTTTCTTTAAAAATATTTTATTTTTTTAAAGAAGGTCATCGACAATATCTTAGCCAGGGTCAGAGCTCCTTCTGGTTTACCAGGAACCTCATAGGTGCTCAGCCAGGTTCTGGGGGAGGTGGAAGGAGAATGTGTAGGTGGCAGTGAAGAGCACTGACAGTTCCACGTGTGTTCTGTGTGCGTTCCTGCCTCTGATTCTCAGCAGACGTTGTCCTATTTGCCTAAAACCCCCGCTCCTTTCCTTTATCTCGTTCTGACTCCTTCTTGGAAGCCTAGCTTACATATCCTCTCTTTGGGGAAATACTTTTATGTTTGAAATAATTAATTGGATGCTGTCTGTGTATACCTTAATATCTTGCTCTTATCCTCACCTGGGTTCTTATATTGAAATTTCTGTTTTTCCCTGTCCCCAAATATAAATTGAAAAGGGGAAGGAATTGTCTTATTTAGTCTCATGGCCCCAGAAACCAGCATGGTACCAGGATCACTAAGTGCTAATCCTGATCATGTGTTGATATCACTTTTTTTTTTTTTTAAGCGAGGAAGCTGATCCAGAGGAAGGCAAAGTAGAAGGGCTGCCTGCCAAGGTGAGCGCAGTTCTGTGGCCCAGCTATCGTAACAGTCATTTCATCCTCCTGCCTCTGTCTCCTCCTTTTCTTCTCTGTCCTCTTTCTCTCTTCCTCCCTCCCTCCCTCTTTTCTTCCTTTCTTCACTCCACCCCCTACCCCCAGCACTTTGTAGCAAATTGCTTTGCAGATGAATTTATTTGGACTCTCATCAGGGTCTATATTATTAGCTAGTTGTTACTTTATTTATTTTTTATAGAGGAAGGGGGAGAGGGAAACATTAATTTGTTCTTCCACTTATTTATGCATTCTGTTATGTGCCTTGACTGGAGATTGAACCTGCAATCTTAGCATATTGGGATGATGCGCTAACCAACTGAGCTACCTGGCCAGGGCTAGCTAGTTATTAACTTTGCCAGACATTGTCTGATATATGTTGAATCATTATTGCTGAATCATTACTTTGGAGTATTTTTATATGAAAGGTTAATGCTTCTGTCTTTGATCTGGGGGAAGTTCTGTATTCATAGGGTAGAGAAGTGAAGGAAAAATCAAGATATTTAAGGTCCCAAAATAGAAAAATAGAACAGAGAAAAATGGCATGAAACCACTTTTATATATAAAAATCTTAGTTCTTCAATATGTCAGTATCTATTGATTTTATAATGTTCACAATCTTTGATCCAGTATCTATCATTTGATAATCTAACCTAAGAAAATAATGCTGAAAATATTATTACAGAAGTGTTTATTGCAGACTTAACTATAAGAGCAAAAAAAAAAAAAAACTAAATAAAATGAAAGAGGAGAGAGTACTAAATGTCCAATAATAGAATGGCCAAATTACAGTTTAAAGTCAGGGGAATATTCCATTGCCATTAAGATCTTTATCATGAAAACATGGCTATGTTTAATGTTCAGCAAGCAAAAGGAGAAGGAGAAGGAGAAGGGTTAAGATTGGGGAATGAAGTGGATGGTAAGCTGGCCTATTAGGTGTCTGAGATGAGGATGGGAAGGGAGTGGGTGAGCGACTGGTAGACAGCCTTGAGGCCTCTGATCAGAAGTTTGGAATCCTCGTGGGAAACAATGAGGTGTTTCCTATTCTGCAGGGTCATTTTTCAAAAATAATTCTTACTATTAGAGGAGATGGAGAGAGGGTTGGTTGCTACAGCAAATCCAGACATGGAGGAAACATCTTGAGACTGGCTAAGGGCAATGGAATGTATAGATCTTATTGATGAAGACTGACTGATATTGGATGTTGAAAATGAAGTGCAAGTAAGGGTCAAGATTTTTAAAACTTAAAGTTAGATTTAAAAGTTCATGCTTATGGAGACACTAGGAAAATGTTGGGTTTGTGGAGCTAAATCAGTGTAGATTGAGGTTCATATAAATTTATGGAAATCAGAGCCACCGTTTACTGAGAAGTTACTATGTACTTGGCATTGTACTAAGTCACACACACACACACACACACACACACACACACACACACACAATTTTCTTTTTTTTACATTTATTTTTATTTTTATTGTTTTATTGCTTAAAGTATTACAAAGGGTCACAATTTTCTTGAGTAGTGTTTAAAAGAATCCTGAGGAGTAGTTGCTATGAACCTGATGAGGTTCATAGAGATGAGAAAAACGATTAGAAATTCAATGATTTGCCTGGGGTTATTTACTAGCTGGGCAATCAGTGATGTTGCTACTTGGCCAATAGGGGGAGTGGTTGTTATATCTGAGCATATAATCTGAAATAATAAATTTGATAATTTTGTTTTCCAGACTAAGATTTTTGAGGAAGCAAATTGAACCCAAGTATGTTTATTCAACTTGAGATAATTAACAGCCAGAGTGTGAGACCTGTAGACTACTGTCAAGGGAGGTTGTTTTGTGTTTTTCCCTAACATGCCCTACCCAGCTCCCAGTCACTGCTTCAGCTGAGGACGGTAAGGTAGCTCTGGCTGTGAGTAGAAGTATCCCCTCTAGGAACACACGGATAAGAATATTATGATCAGATAGGAAAATATAGTGCAGAGAAGGTAGTCAGCAACTGGGGAGGTTCTTGGTACCATGACTATCAACACAGATAAAATCCAATAGATTTGCCCCAGAAGTCGTCTTGAAAACTTAGAGAAATATAGGAATATAAAATGCCTCAATTTTATTGCTCAGAACATGTTAGGATTATTTTAACCTTTTTATTAAAATATTTCAGAGATATGTTCTACGAGAAACCAACATGACTTCCCGTTATGAAAAAGAATTCATGGAGGTAGAAAAGATTGGAGTTGGGGAATTTGGTACAGTCTACAAGTGCATTAAGAGGCTGGATGGATGTGTCTATGCAATAAAACGCTCCACGAACTCTTTTGCAGAATTATCCAATGAGTGAGTACCTTTGAAATGTACTAGAAGCACAAACTTGGATTTGGAAAGCTTTTTCTTGTCAAAATATTTTAAATAATAGCACTGATGTCATTTAAAAAAACATTTACTACTTTTTTAAAAATCACCCACCCCCTCCATTGTATGTTGTCTCACATTTATAACCTTTCTGAGTTTTCCATATCAGATGTAAATTATTTCTTAAAATATACCATGATCATTTCGGGTCATTTTGTGGTGTGTGTGTGTGTGTGTGTGTGTGGTTTTTGTGGCTTTTACTACTGGTCTTACTTCTTTTTAATAATTATTAAATTTATGGAATGATCTTATGGTTTCTGTTTAGTTCATCAGAAATATTGCCAAGTAGTTAACTCCATGGTTTATCTCTACTTTGCATTAATAATGAATTTTATAGTCAAGTTTCAAGGACTATAAGGAAGGAAAAATTAACAAAATTAAATTTCATTCCCAGAAATAATTGTTCTTCCTTTTCACAAGGATAACAAACATTTTCAAATGGTTTTTTTTTTTTAATTAATTGTGGGGATGTAATACTTATGCCAAATCTGAAATTATCAATTTTAGAATCCTTCGTTTTCACTTTCATTTTCACAATATATTTTATTGATTTTAGAGAGGAAGGGAGAGGGAAAGTGAGATAGAAACATCAACGATGAGAGAGAATCATTGATTGGCTGCCTCCTGCATGCCCCCTACTGGGAATTGAGCCCACAACCTGGCCATGTGCCTTGACCAGGGATCAAACTGTGACCTGGTTCATAGGTCAATACTAAATCACTAGGCCACAATAGCCAGGCTAGAATTCATCATTTTTATACTGAAACTCACCAAATACTGTATTTTGCTTTTTTGGGGTTGGATTTCATGTTCCACTATAAATATCTCTTTCCAAGAGTGTCCCCTCACTACATATTGGTGAGTTTAATATTGACTCTGACTCTCTAGCCTTCATAGAGAAGATAGAAGGCTCATGACAATATCCACAATCAAGTCCATTGTGGCCTTCTTGTGAAGCCCATCAAGATATTTTTTTTTAATATATTTTATTGATTTTTTACAGAGAGGAAGGAAGAGAGATAGAAAGTTAGAAACATCGATGAGAGAGAAACATCGATCAGCTGCCTCCTGCACATCTCCTACTGGGGATATGCCCGCAACCCAGGTACATGCCCTTGACCGGAATCGAACCTGGGACCTTTCAGTCCGCAGGCCGACGCTCTATCCACTGAGCCAAACCGGTTTCGGCAGCCCATCAAGATATTTTAATATGATACAGTAAAATAAAGTTCCAAAGCACGTCTGCTGTTGAGGTAGCACCACTTAAGCCTCCTCTTTATTTGTGCCATGCTTAATAAAAAAAAAAAAAAACATGGACTTGGGTGTCAAGATGACTAAGGTTCTACTCCGAGGTCTACTATCACTTGCTTGAGTTTGGACCATTCACTGACCTTTCTAAATCCTTTATCCTTGCCACTGTATCTCACTGCATCATTATGAAAATTAGGGATGAAATAATAAGCAAGTAGTGAGCATTCAATAAGCGTTCTGCCATTGTTATTAATGAGTCATATCTTGTCTTTTCAAAAAACATTTGCATGCACATTATCCTGATTCATTTTCCTCAATGTTTTCCTCTCTCTCAGGAATTCGGTTTTGCATGAAGTTTATGCTCATGCGGTACTTGGCCATCACCCCCATGTGGTACGTTACTACTCTGCATGGGTAGAGGATGACCACATGATCATTCAGAATGAATACTGCAATGGTAAGTATGTGGACTAATGTCTACGGAGAGGGAGAGGAATTTTTTTTTAAGTTGATTTGAGAGAGAGAGACATCGATTTGTTGTTCCACTTAATTATGCATTCATGAGTTGGTTCTTGTATATGCCCTGACTGGGGATCAAACCTGCAACCTTGGAGTATGGGGACGATGCTCTAACCAACTGAGCTACAAGGCCGGGATGGGAGATGAACTATTAAGTCTTCAGAAGAAAACCTTTGCCTCTTCCTTGTAGTTTATGCTGGGCGTAGCAGAGTCATACCTAAAATGTCTGCCCTGCAGTTTTGCTTGGAAGCAAAGAGCTGGAGGAAATGAGCTGAGTTGAAAAGGAATTTCAGGTTTATACTATTACATATTTCTTTTGAAGCTGATGTGTAGCTGATACATAGAAGCTCTCACTCCCTTCACACTTTACTTAACACTAGAGAAAGAACTTTACCCTAGTGATTTGAGTGGTAAATCGCCCTTTTACATTTGCTAGGTATTCTAAAAGATGCAAGCATAGTCCCTACAATTTTAGGGAGGGAAGTGGGTAGAAGGTGGTAAATGTATACAGCCAACTCCTGAGTTTGGGGATTGTTCCTGCTTTTTGCTGCTTCTTAACCTTATGAGCTTCAGTGTTCTCACCAGAGTAAGGGCATGGGGAGGGGGCTGGGGTTGAAACACGTGACTCCAGGTCTATTCTCCAGGGTCATTCAGAACTGTACATATACAGTAACCAGTAAAACTGTTGTTCTGGGCTATTTAAGTTACAGAGTGGTCTTATGGTTTAACATATTTCTATTCCATGACTAAGGGGTTGACATGACAGCAGTTTTGTGTTGTTATGCTCAGAAATATTTTTCATCAGAAAGTTCAGTAGTAAAGTAGAAAAAGTACTATCACATTGAATAGAAACTTGCCATCATTTGAGGAGTAGCAATTATTTGGCATTTCCTTGTTGTTTCTTTACAGCTTGATTTGTTTGCAGCCTTACCTGTGAACTTTGTGGGGGTTTTCCTCCAACAGGCTCACCCCAAATCCCCTTTTCTATGTCTCTTGGGGATAAAAAAAAAAGGACCACATCTTTATACTTAGGATTGAAAGTTAGAAACTTTTTAGTCATCTTCTCTTCCTAATTTCCTCTTATCGTGACCTGAGATTCCCTATTCCTTTACTCCCCTCTCTATAAGAATACTGGTTTTTTATTTCTATGACTTCTAACTACTAACAAAGATAATATCAAATAAAAATTACTCAATAAAGCAAAACAAAAGAAATTTGAGGCAATATAAAGATTTCAGATTTTCAAAAAAAAAAAAAGAAGAAAGAAAGAAAGAAAGGGAGTGATTGTTCCTATTACAAATCACATTTTCATTCTTTCTAACATTTAATATCTCCTACAGGATTGATACTTATTAAGCTCTAGGGTAAGAAACAAAGTAGAGTGAGATAAGTCCTTATCTTCAAGGAGCTTCATTCCACTTGCTCTGTGACAGTGAATACACAGGAGACAATTAGGTGCAGAGCCAGATGTGCAACCATGGATAAAAAGGGCCGAGAGAAGGGGAATGTGAGCAAGAGGCAGCGTGGAGTGGTGCAAGGGGCCAGGGCTTTGAAGTCGGCAGACCTGGGGTTAACACCCCGCTCTTTGCACACTAGTTGTAAGATCGCTGGGATGCCACGTAATCTCACTGAGTAGAGAGACTGCAGTAATGACTTAAGGGAGTAGTTTGAGAATTAGCAACCATCTATGTCAAATGCTAGCACAGTGACAATGCCCCATACATAGGGAGAAGTCAGTGTTGTTAGAGTAGCCTGAGAAAACCTACAGGAGGTAAGACTTGACGAGACCATGCTGAAGGATTAGGAGAGTTTATAGGGAAGGGAAGGGAAAGGAAGAATCCAGTTAGGAAAACAGCCACAAGCACAGGGCAGGATGGTATTGGCAGTGGGTCTAGCCTAGCAGACAGTAAGGAGACGATGGGACCGAGGGGGCGCCTGTAGAAGGAAAGATTAACAAAGTGAAGTGTGGGAAATCTAGAAAGCCCTGAAAGCCAGATGGACTGGATGTGATGGATTATGGGGAATCAGTCTATCCATCATGGTGGTCCTCAAACTTCACTGAGTACCTACCAATTAAAATGTAACTATGATTTGTCAAATGTAATTCACACACTTTGAACCTTTCAAATGTGAACTAATCGTGGAAAATAAAGAATGCCCTTCTACCTTGTCTTGTTTGTAGTTATGGATACTTCATGTTGAGACTTTGCCCTGTGGCTCTAAACAAAAGATAAGTTCAAAGTATCTGTAAGGTAGCAGAGTAGCCAGTGGTTTGTTCCCACTCCCCCCCCCCACCCCCCGCATTCCCTACCTTCATCTTTTTCGCCTCCTGCCCTGTCTGCCCATACCCACCCTTACCCTGTGCCCCCAGCATGTCAGAGCAGTCAGGTTTGAACAATCAGCTATGGCTTTAACTCAGATGATAAATTAGATATGATTTAGACAACTTAGATTATAACTCTGATTTCCCCTATTGTCCCTTTGGAGCCCTGAACCAATTAAATGCTCCCCCACCCTTGCCAAGATCCCCTACAAGTTACCTCTGGGCCAGCCTCAGCAACCTGAAGGTGTTCAGGAGCAGGTAGATTCTGCAAGCACCAGGATTCTATCAGGTTCAGGGCTGGATGGTGAATCTCTCCCAACAGGCAGTATTTTCTTCTGTCTTCTGTTACTGAAGTTTTTTAGAATGGCTAGAATGGCGATTCTCATGTTTGTCCGCGTGATATGACATTGGAAGTCAGTGTCCTTTGCGAAACACCAGTTTCTCAGTATTGCTATGTCTATTCACACATACTTCCTTGTTAATACTGTTCAGTAAAGGACAGCTAATTATGCTCTTCTATAAGAGGTGGATAGTCAGCTTTAGCTGTAGGAAAATAAGGATATGCAAATACCTTTGCGTACAGCATACATGAGTACTTTTCAGTAACTTCTACTATTGATAATTATTACTTGGCTAACTGTAATATGACCTACAGAGCTTCCAAGTAATTACAAGTGCTGATAGCACTGGTCTAGCTACCCTTACTGAGTACCTGTAGCTCTTGGGGGGATTAGAAATATTTCTGTTAAGCCTCTAAAAGAACATGTTAAAGGGTTTCTAAGTACCCCCAGACTCCTTTCTTTCTGTCCTTTTACGGGATCCTTGACTCAGTCTTGCTCTTCCCATCTGTTGCCAGGATAGACATTCAGTTCAGAAAATATTTATTATGTGCCCGACCTGGGAAAATGAAGATAAGATGCAGGCCCTGCCCTAAGGGACACCCTGGCTGGTAGAGAAACAAGTGTTCTAATGGACATGGGCCTGGACGTAGTCCTTCCCTCGCTGTCACATCTCATTAACTCATTTGTAAAGTTAGCTTCCAGGTGACTTAGTTTTTAACAAGCTCCAACGTATTCTTTAGTTATTCTTCCTTTCTAATTAATGTCACCTGTAGTACATAAAAATCTTTCCTAAGAAGGTTCCCATAAAAAAACAAAACAACAACAACAAAAACCTTTAGCCCTCCTTGTGTTTCTGAAAGGGGCTGGATTCCTTTCCTTTCTGAACTTAAGTACTTTAACAAAATAGATCCATCTTTTATATAGGATACTCTTAAATATGGATTTCCTAAAAAATACTGTTACTGTCTGAAATCCTATTGTTCTGATATACACTTAAAGGGTGGAACAATGGCCTTTATAACTGCCAGGGAGACACTGAGCTCTATAATTTTGACTGATGAGGCTATCAGTAAGTGCTCATTAATGAAATAAAGGGTTTGGAAGCATTCTAATACCTTAGTACAGGGGCAGCTAAGACCAGGGCGTCAGATGAACCCAGGCCTTACTTATTATTGATAACAATGATAAATCAGGAAATTAAAGCTGAGGTACAAATCTTGTGGTTCAACTTGGAGTTGGGTGTATATTGATGTTTTATATTTTTCCTTGGTTAACAATCATCAAATGTTCTTATTTGGTTGTATATTTTTAATGGAATTAAACTTAGAATCAATTACATTAAATTACTAGATTGACACTGACATGAAATTAATCATCACACTAATAGTAGCTATATGACTAAGGCTGACTGGCCTCCTGGTAAATAATTAGGTAAAACTTTAATTAGTTAGTTGAGGCATACTCGAGACAATAGGGCCACATATTGGATATCTGGGATATGGCATTTTCCTCTTTAAAAGCCCTGTAATTATTCTTTTCTAACATGTCTGTAGTATGGGCAGGGGGAAGATATGTTTGGCATTGACACTGGAGTAATCTAGACTTGCTGGACTGGATTTATTCACAAGAAATTTATGATTTACTCTGCTTTCCTCTGCAAGATTCACACCCTTTCTCTCATTCTGGGGGCTACCCTTGGTCATTCTTTCCTAGGTGGGAGCTTACAGGCTGCTATATCTGAAAACACGAAGTCTGGCAATCACTTTGAAGAGCCAAAACTCAAAGACATCCTTCTGCAGATTTCTCTTGGGCTCAAGTACATCCACAATGCTGGCATGGTGCACCTGGACATCAAACCGAGTCAGTATGCTCCCCTCTGCCCCGCCAACCGTATTTAGTTCTTTCCTCCCTCTTGTCAGAATCAGTGCCTATCTGTCTATCAGTGTCAAAGATGCTGTTTGCTGGCAGAGTGCTTTTCTTTCATTTGTTTCCCTTAAACAAATTCAATTAAACAGCTTTCACAATTTTCTCCCTGGGCACATGGGACAGTGAGAGAAAAGACTTTCTCAGATAGTGAAGCCAAAGTATGAAAATAATTATTTAATTTGCCACATAGATAAGTGACAACATATTGGCTACATCCTGACTGTGTTTACTGATGCTATACCCTTTCTAATTCACACCGATTGAAGTGAGCAGAAATGGATGCTTTGGGCCCTCATCAATATGAAATTCAAGGAACTGTTGTTACTGTATTGTGTGTTTTTCTTATTTCTTTGTTTTGTGGCTACTAGCCTCTTCAGAGGATATTTGAAATCAGTTTCACTTATCAATCACTGAGCTGTTCATAAGTAGTGTGAGAGATTCCAGGGAAGAAGAGGCCCCTTGTACTGTTGTGACAGGCGCAGAAGAGGAAGAGAGGAAGGTGCTATAGTGGCAGATACAAAAAAGAGTCTTTGGGGTGAAAAAACATAGGAATCATTATTTATGTCAATTCTATATTTTTGCAGGTAACATCTTCATTTGTCATCAGATACAAAGGGACTCTCCTATAGTCCAAGAAGACATTGAAAATGATGCTGATTGGTTTCTCTCTACCAATGTGATATACAAAATTGGTGAGTCTGCCTTATACTCTGACCTGTATTCTATTACCCTATAAAATGTATACTGATGACTCCATTTACTCCTGTTTTAAGAAAGACATGCTTGTAAAGAGCTCCATTTCTTTTTGTTTTTTGTTTTTTTAGGAGACTTGGGTCTTGCAACATCAATAAGTGAACCCAAAGTGGAAGAGGGAGATATTCACTTCCTGGCTAAAGAGATTTTGCAAGAGGTATAGATTAGGGAAACGGAGGCTATTTTATAATTCATTTAACCTTTTGACTCTCAAATGAAAGAAATGGAAAGTATATACTTATAATTTAAATTGATATTATCCCTTTTCCTATTCAGTATGGAGACCAAAAATAGGAGAGAATTTTTCCCTAAAAAAGCATGAGAAAGCTGGCTCACTTTGGATTAATCAATATTTGTACTGTTCTTTGTAAAGGTCCCTTACTGTTTCTAGTATTTCTTAGAATTCCCAAACTCCTGGATTGCTTAGTAGGAAGAAAGAATTGATTGGTCCAGCCCATCTTTATCCTACTACTCTCCTGTTGGCAGCATATCAGCTTTGGTCATTGAAATGACCTTTAGTTATTACCTACCTTCTAGGACAGTGGTTCTCAACCTTCTGGCCCTTTAAATACAGTTCCTCATGTTGTGACCCAACCATAAAATTATTTTCGTTGCTACTTCATAACTACAATGTTGCTACTGTTATGAATTGTAATGTAAATATCTGATATGCAGGATGGTCTTAGGTGACCCCTGTGAAAGGGTCGTTCGACCGCAAAAGGGGTCGCGACCCACAGGTTGAGAACCGCTGTTCTAGGATGTCTGTGGAGTCAGGCCTGGCACAGTGATGTTAATTGGGTGGATCTGTGCTCTATCCTCTATCTTCCTAGAGGTAAAGCACTAAGCACGGAGGATGTGTCTGTTTAAGTTCACATGCATTCAAATGAACCTTTCTTACCAGCTGTATTTTAATCTAGACTCTCTTCACTTGGCAAACAAACGAGCCTTCCTGTCTTCTGTTTTGAAGGATTATCAGCATCTCCCTAAAGGAGACATATTTGCCTTGGGATTAACAATGGCAATGGCCGCAGGAGCAGAGTCATTACCCAGCAATGGTGCCGAGTGGCATCATATCCGAGAGGGTAACCTTCCACACATTCCTCAGGAGCTCTCAGAAGAATTGTACAATCTGCTCAAGGTGATACCTCTTATGAAATGAAGAGAAGATGGAAATACTGATTAAAAAAAAAATGTAATGGCAAGTAGGTCGGGAAAGGGAAAAGGAGATGTTGGCAGTGCCACTGACAGAGGAAAAGGGAATCAGCACCAGGAAGCCCAGCAGAGACAGGGCTGATTGAAAGTGTCTCAAGGACATTTAGAAACTATCATAAATACCTTTTATGTTATGGTTTAAATATCCTGTTACATTTTTCTCATTTGCCTTTCTGAACAACCCTGTGAGGTACATAGTTGAGAAGACCTAGGCTCACAGCAGTTTCTGGACTTGTATTCCACCTTTGATAACTCACTCCAAAATCAAACCTGTTCTTTTTGCTCCCATTTCAGGGTTTTAATTAACCATTGTCAATAGCAACAGTGATGTTATTACTGAAACACACACACACACCACCTAAATTTTGAGTGTATAGAAGAAAGTATAAGCTAACTTATTAATAACTGGCAATACTACCATTCATTTGAGCTGTTGGAAGAAAGGTAATGTCAATTCAGGAATCTATGTGTCACTTGTACTCAATGATATCTGTAGGAACTAGGAAAGGGAGATATTACATTGAAACAAAGAGAGGTACAAAAAAATCTACACTGTCGAGAAGCTTAGACTTACACTAAGAAAACAAAAGGTATATGTAAGACTTATTTCAGGGCTTAAGGAACAGGATCTGTTAGGATCCCTAAAAGCCTTAGAAATACCTACTCTTGGGGATTAAATTTGAGTTCCACAGTTACCCTGAAAACTTCAAATTTAGTTATAAACTTGTCCTTCCTCACTTCTGCTTTCCTGAAAGGAGACAAACCCTTCCTCAGAGTGGTTTTTGTTCACAGTGTAATCACCTATTTTTATGTGTAAATTGCCCTTCAATTTAGTAGATAAGTATTGAGTACCTCAATGCTGGTAATACATATATGTAATTCACTTAATTCTCACAACAGCTGGAAGGTGAACATCGCTGTTCCACATATCAGGAAAGGGAAGCTGAGTTTCAGCAAAGAGACTTGCCCAGGCTCTAAGCCAGTTTTGCTCAGTGAATAGAGCATCGGCCTGCGAACTGAAGGGTCCCTGGTTCGGTTCCGATCAAGGGCATATGCCCAAGTTACAGTCTCAATTTCCAGTAGGGGGCGTGCAGGAAGCAGCCAATCAATGATTTTCATCATTGATGTTTCTATCTCTCTCTCCCTCTCATTTCCTCTCTGAAATCAATAAAAAAAAAAAAAATTTTTTTTTAAAAAGAGACTTGCCCAGAACTACATAGTAAACGGGAGCTGGCTCTGACCATTGCTCCCCAGATGGAGGTGCAGTGTTTTCTTCATTATACAGCACTGCTAATTGCTGCAGATAATTAGGCATTTTCTACCGTATTAAAATCATTTTAGGTTACAGACACCCCCCCACCTGAAGATAAGTGCTGTAGGAATATTGTTATGGTGTGGTATCCTTAATTAATTTAAGTGAAAAAGGAGCATGTTGTGGTAGAAAGTAAACTGAACTAGGTGTTGGGTAACCTGGATTTGTCTAGGTCTTGTCAATGACGCAGACAAGTCACTTTATTTTAGGACCTCCGTTTCTTCCTCTTTAAAGTGAAGGCATTGGAGTAGTTAATCATCCCACTAGCTCTAAACTATGATACTTAAAGTCAGAGGTATGGATGACTGACCTACCAGAGAGGGTGGAGGTAAATTTTCATCTATCTCTTCCCTCCACACGAAGGAGAGGCAGAGTTTCACAAAACCCACAGCAGAAGCTGGCTTGGTGTGGGCTTGGGTGGGCTGATTTCCCAAACAGTGAAGCTTCTGTTTCCTCACATTGTCAGAACATGATCCACCCTGATCCCAGGGAGAGACCCTCTGCAGCAGTTCTGGCCAGAAGTCGGGTTCTCCGTCCCACCCTGGGGAAAACAGAAGAGCTCCAGCAGCAGCTCAACTTGGAAAGGATGAAGACAGCCACACTGGAAAGGTAGATTTCGGATGCTGCCGCTGAGAAAGAACCTCTTTATGAACTGCTCATAGTGATATGACTGGTGTATCTGCTTTGTGGTTTCACAAGTGGAACTTGTGTCTGCAAGTGGAGCTCAATATTATAATACGTAGGTCTCTGCCCACACAGACACTAGCAGCATGCAGCCCTTTGTAGCACAGGGCTGGAGGCTCTGTGATTGAGAGAGAAAATTCAATTACTGCAAAGGAAGCGGAGTGAAGAATGCAAAGAAATACAACCAGTAAAGTAAACTTAGTGGGATGCTGAGTGACAACAGGTGTTCAAGAAACTGGTGATCTCCCAAGGCGAGGTAATCCTAGTTAAGGTGGGGAGAGACTGATTTTAGAATCCCACTAAATTTCAGGGGCAGGCAGATATTGTCTCTTGGTACATGTTCAGAGGAAGAGGTATTTTTCCAAGCTAAAGGAAGCAGTCTGATGACTTATTCATGTAACTTGTATTCATGTGTGCATTAATTTATTAATCTATTCCTCCATTAAACAAATGGGAATTAATCAGATGGAATGGGCTGGTATAAAGGTCAGGCAGTGATGTCTGAGCAGAGTTCTGAAGGCATTTTAAAGTGATTTTTACATACATTGTGCACTATTAAAAATATAAAAGAAGATGGTCCATGTGTAAAATAAGCTTAGAAGTCCAACTTCTTTTGGATACACAATCCATCGAAGAATTATTACCTTGAAAAGGCCACAACATGATGTATTGGCAATGAGTTGTGGAGACTTTAATCAGGCAATTCTTCCTAATAAACAACTTACTATCTTTTTGCTCTAGTTTTGTTTATTAGCCAGGAAAAATGGAATCCAAAATACAAATATTTATAGATATCATGTCACAGGAATATAAGTTTTTCTTCGGGTGTGGTGTGTACATTCTGCAAAACCAGCTATGCAGGCACAGGTGACTGTCATCAGTCACTACCAGCAATGGACATCCATTATAGAGATGGGGCAGATGCCTGTCTAGACCAGAGGTTGGCAAACTTTTCCATAAAGAGCCAGATAGTAAATATTTTACACTTGTGGGCCATGTGATCTTTGCTGCAACGACTCAACATAATGTAAAAGCAGCCATAGGCAACATATAAGTGAATAGGTGTGGTTGAGTTTTCCAATAAGACTTCATCTATAAAAACAGGTGGCTGGCCAGATTTGACCCATGGCCATAGCCTGCACTACAGGATAATCTGTAGTTCCCTCATTTTTAAAAAAATATATTTTATTGATTTTTTACAGAGAGAAAGGGAGAAGGATAGAGTTAGAAACATTGATGAGAGAGAAACATCGATCAGCTGCCTCCTGCACACCTCCTACTGGGGATGTGCTCGCAACTAAGGTATATGCCTTGACCGGAATTGAACCTGGGATCTTTCAGTCCACCGGCCGATGATCTATCCACTGAGCCAAACCGGTTAGGGCCCTCCTCCTTATTTTAAAGACCATTTATGCCCCAATCAATAGGATTTAGGAACCCAAACCTGCCATATGTTGTAGCACATATGGGCCGGGCTTTTTTTAAGACAATCACAGGAGCAAATTTTCTGTGTATAGCTTAGGCTTGTTTCTATAAATACTGAAATAAATAAAAAAATCTATCTATATGGTAGTTTTGATCATGAACATCTCTAATTTAGGATGGAGTAACATGTGGTTTTCCTCTTTCATTGCTAGGGAACTGAGAGAAGCCCAGCGGGTCTGCGAGCCCCGGAAAGGCCACAGTGACTCTGAGGTCTCGGGGACCCATACAAGATCAGGAAGCACCAAACGGCTAGTGGGAGGAAAGAGTGCAAAGTCTTCAAGCTTCACCCGTGGGGATTCTTCCTCATAAGAATTCAGTTCACATCAACCCACAATATACGTTAACCATGCCAAACTCCCTCTTGTTAAAGGAAAGCTTAACCCACTTCAATACCCAAAGATGTCGAAAGCTACTCCTAATTTAGCATTTATAGCCAAGATACTAAAGCTATTGAGGCCTTTATTAGCAAGGGTCTCCAGTACCATTATCTCCTCTATTGTTATATTCCTAACACCACCTATCCATAGATCATTTCTCACATTCATTGGACACAATGGGAAAGCATGAGCTTCTGAACGGACGGAAGAGAAGGAACCAGCCCTCAGTGCAGCCCATGGACTAAGACGTTGCTCTAGTTAATTACCTATGAAGGATCCCAGTGACTCTTCCTGCACATTGAAAAAAAATACAATTTTGTTGAGTTGTAACAGCTTACAAGAAAATGCACCTGGATTTCAACAAACGTTCCCCGGGTTATCTGATGGTATTTGTAAAAGAATTCTCAACCACTTTAGTTTTCCTACTGTGTTCTCTGAATAGAGACCATCACCTCCTTTGATATTGTATTTATTAAATATAAATGACTTCACCATTATTTGAGATGGATAGAAATAAGGCTATACATAACTTGATATTTCTGAGCTGGCTATTAACTTATAGGACAAAAACACTGGTTAGGAGTATGAAGGAAATTTGATGTGATTGTTCTCCCTCCGTCTATTTGTCCTGACCCTGCTGTAACTGTTATGACTGGTTTTGGTTTTCTGGGTGTCACCAATTTCTCCTTGATTTGATAAGAATTTGGCTTTGTTTCCTGTGATTTTTATCATATTTTATCTAAATCCTTTTTCCTGTATATATATATTTTTTAAAGGAATAGAATATTTGTAAATAAAGGTTTTTATCGTGTCCAAAGCCAAATATGGGGAAAGCACTCTTCTTTGTAATATGGAACTAACAAAGAGTGAGAAATTTATGTTGGAAAGGATTTCATGAGTAGATAGATAGGTGAGACAATTTGGTAGGCTTGTACTAATAGGTCTGCTTCGAGCCTCAACTTCACAGGCCCAGAAGCTTATAATGGCCAAGCTATAATATAAAATAATATTGGTCATAAAGGCATTTGCTAATTACGTCATATTAATAAATGTAGCCTGTAAATAGTTTGTAAGGCCTTTTTTCCTGCCTTATTTTCTTTTGCCTTAAAGTTATTTTTTAACTGAATAAACCATCAGACCATTTTTTCTTGTCTTGAAATAGCAATTCTTTCCATGCAATTAAATGGGGTATAGTGCTCCATATTGCTCTATGCCATTTTTTAAAACCAGTCTTTGTTCAAGGTTTTAAAATCGAGTTAATTTATCTCTTGCTTCTCCCAATCCAGCCATGCCCTTTGCAGTACAGTGCAAGGTCAACCACAATTAGTGATTTATAAACAGGTATATTAAGAGTATGCAATGTGTAGACCAGAATTTTTTGGTTATACTTGTCTTCTCAGGCATCGACACCTACTACTGTGAGGGTCTACTCCAGTCCTATAGTGCAGCGGTTCTCAACCTGTGGGTCGCAACCCCTTTGGGGGTCGAATGACCCTTTCACAGGTGTCACCTAAGACCATCGGGAAACACATATATAATTACATATTGTTTTTGTGATTAATCACTATGCTTTAATTATGTTCAATTTGTAACAATGAAAATACATCCTGCATATCAGGTATTTACATTATGGTTCATAACAGTAGCAAAATTACAGTTATGAAGTAGCAACGAAAATAATTTTATGGTTGGGGGTCACCACAACATGGGGAACTTTATTAAAGGGTCGCGTTATTAGGAAGGTTGAGAACCACCGGACTCTACTCCATTCCTATAGTGACACCTGAATGCACCTGGTGTCAGACTCTTGGTTTCTCTCCTTCTTTTGCTGGGCTCCATGGGAGCAGGAAGTCACCAAAAGAGCAGGTAGCTGCATAGACACTGCTGAGTATGGAAGGGACTGGGTCTGTTTTCAATTTGCATTGTGCTTTCTGCTTTTTAATTCATTCATTCATTCACTCACTCATTTTAAACAACCTTTTCCATGCTTCTCACACCAAATTATTTGTGAATACAAAGAAAGAGGGAGAGATTAGTGGCATAATGAAGAAAGACCTTTTAAGGCCAAATGATTGGACATGGTTGGATAGATGTAGGTGATCAGGGAGAAGTTTTAAACATAATTCCAAAGTTCAGGTCTGGGAGAATCTTGGTACCACTAACAAAGAGATTAAAGGGGGCACACTGTCTTTGAAGGAAAGGGTACATTTAATGTTTCATTTGACTGAACCGCTTAAATGGAAGGATTTTTATTTTTTATTTTTTTTATTTATTTATTTTTTTAATATATTTTATTGATTTTTTTACAGAGAGGAAGGGAGAGAGATAGAGTTAGAAACATCGATGAGAGAGAAACATCGATCAGCTGCCTCCTGCACATCTCCTATTGGGGATGAGCCCGCAACCCAGGTACATGCCCTTGACCGGAATCGAACCTGGGACCTTTCAGTCCGCAGGCCGACGCTCTATCCACTGAGCCAAACCGGTTTCGGCGGAAGGATTTTTAAATAGGATATCATTGAAGGGCACTGACAGTAGTAACTTAGTGGGTAGAATGTAGAATGATTAATGCCTGTGCAAGGACTGAAGGCAGTATAATAAAATGGAATAAACATTGCTCAGGGAGTCACTTAAAAACAGTCAGGAGGCAATTGAGGAAGTGAGGCCCACTTTGTGCCACAGTTCTCAGAGCAGCTATTAAGTTGTTAAACCTGTTGCTAAACTCAGCTCAAGGCCCAGCCAGAAACATCCAGGGAGACATAAACATCTTGGAACAAAGATGATACCTGGACATATAAGGACCTTCCTATCCTTCCTTGTAGTTTTCACTGCCTCATTTGCATACTGGAACCAACCAATCCTGTTAAACTAGCCAACAATTCATTTGCATGGAACAATTACATTTTGTGGGTTTTGCCTTTATTAAACCCTTTGTTCTCTCCAGAGTGCAGTTGGGTTGCTACCTAAATCTGCCTTGTTTGGATTTGAATCCTTTAAGACCCCAAATAAACCTTTGTTTTGCAGCCTCAAATCTTTATTAACAATGGCATTTCAAAAACTAAACTGTGAAGGTGGAAGTAAAACTTGGGTTAAGCATCTAGAAATATACTCTGAATGAAAAGGGGGGCTATGCAATAAACCTGACAAGCCGGGGTGTGGTGGGGAGTGGGTGGTGGTGGTGGTGGTGATGGTAGGGGTGGCACACGGCAGGCCTGGCAAGCTCAGTTACCAAAAGTAACCCCACAGGATAGTCTGATCACAAATGCCTAACTGGGCGTTCCAGGTCTTTGGCAGAGGCCAATCTTTAAGTGAGCTCTGCCCATTGTTCTTATGCATCTAGGACAGGGGTGGGCAAACTTTTTGACTTGAGGGCCACAATGGGTTCTTAAACTGGACCGGAGGGCCGGAACAAAAGCATGGATGGAGTGTTTGTGTGAACTAATATAAATTCAAAGTAAACATCATTACATAAAAGGGTACGGTCTTTTTTTTTTTTTAGTTTTATTCATTTCAAATGGGCCGGATCCGGCCCGCGGGCTGTAGTTTGCCCATGGCTGATCTAGGATAACCTACTAGTAATGTTAGGGGGGAAGGACATGGAATAAGAATAGAACCACAGCTGTCTAATAATTATTTACTTTATTAATGATAGATGAGAAGTTTTCTTATAGACCCTGGAAACTGGAGGATGAAACAGGCCTGTAAAAGATAAGATACCTCGGAGCCCAAATGGGTCCATGACTCAAACAAGAAACACATTTTGAGAACAACCAAGGACAGGACACGCTTTGATTTGGTTGCTGCACCTGGACCCTGTCCGCCTCCGGAAATTTTTCTCAGGAACACTGACCATTCTCTGGTCTCAGGAAGGGGCTGTTCGTAACATCATAGAAGACTAGCCACCTTGTTGTTAGACTTTGAGCTTCTGAAGGCCAGACTGCAGACCCTCTCCTCCCCCCACCCCTTTCCCTGTTATACTTAGAGCTCGCAGCTGCATGTAGCTATCTTCTCCCTCATGTGTATATAACCAGCCAATTGGCACGAGGGGGGGGGGGGGTCAGAGCAGATTTCTGTGGGTGACAGACTGCTCTCCCACGCTGCCGGCATTATTGGAATAAATGCTCACATATGATTCAACCCTGTCTCCGCTTAATTGGCTCACGTGGTCCCAGGCAACCGACCCCTTGGTTGTCCAGTTATAGTACCTTTGAAATGTCAGAGTAATTTCCTTTTTCTATGCCTGGAAGACACACCCTCAGCACCAGAGCACAAGACCACCAGAGTGTGAGGTCACAGAACCCCTTGTTGTTATCTTGTCTCTGAATACCATCTCTATGTGCTGTAAATGTTATTAACTATCCTTTACCCACCAATGTAAAAGAAGCACAGGGTGTCCCCAAACAGTGTATACACACTTTAACAGCTGATAGCTCAATTTTGAAAATGAAATGTATTTTAATAAACACTGCCTTTATAATCATCCAAAATTTGCTCAGCACGATTTTTTTTTCATTGATTGTGTGTGCATACATTTTGGGGGGGACACTCTATATGTTTCTCCATTTTGCCTTTTATCCAATCCTAGAGGTTTCCTGCCACCCCCTGCTTTCTCCCAGCTCCTTAACCTACCATCAATGGATTTCATGCATCTTAAGTCTTCTCCTTTGATTCTAATATGTAAAATAAGCTGCAAAACTTCCATTCTATGGAGCATTTGAGATCTTGCTCCCTGGCATATGTCGTCAGTTTGGCTCAATAAGCTTGTAAAAATTCTCCACAGGTTTGGACTGTCTACATTGACAATGACAATTAGTAAGCCTACTTTTGGAGTAGGTTAACGTGTGTGTTGGAAACCATGTTAAGCCATTCATATTTTTTCCTTCAAGGGCAAGAGTAGGCATTGAAAGGTTTTAAGCTGAGTCCTGAGGAAAGTTGCGTGTTGGAACGATGTGGAGGGTACCTTCCTTTCTAGAAGTTGGGCAGTGTCAGGGCCACAATAAGGGGGAGACCCTTTCTGGACTGTATTCTGCAATCTGTGGGGTTCCATACCCCTCTTCATCATCAGGGCCAAGATTAGGGTGTGAGGCAAAATATAAGGGGTGTCAAAAAAAACCACCTTTAAGATTAATAATATTTTAATGCAATATTTTTAAAATATTAAAATAAAAATATCCACAATTAACAAAATACCAGAATTTTAAATAAAGGTAAGACCTGTAAGCTGAAGTTAATTAAAATTATTATTTAAGACACTTGTAAAAATGTTGTCAGACATGGCAATTCTTGCAACTGGAAATAAGAAGTAGTTATTGAAAATATTGACCATTTTATGTCCATTAAAGCCAGGAAAGTAAAATTATAATAGTTTTTGGTATAAATAAAGTATTTAAACCTAAAACAATATTCTGAGTTTTAATACACCTACTTTTCAAATATTCAATATTTCTTCAAGTAACTTAGTGTTCTGAAAAAATTTTTTTAAATACATAAAACTATAGGAGCACATATTTTCCCTTGCGCCTCAGAATACTTGTATTTAACTAAGATTTAATTTTTTTGCTCAGCACGGATTTTTTCCATTGATCTGGACTTTTTTAAACATTGAATTAAAATATTTACCTTGATTGCCAATTTTTTGGCGTCTCCTTACTTTGCGCTCTAAGCCCTATCCCCACTCCTTTTTCTTGTTTTCTGCTTTAGGAGGTCGGGACCTTTCTAGTGTTTTCCAGAGGCGGAGCTATCTTTTGTGCCGCCTACCTCGCCCCCTCCCGGGCCGGGGTGGGAACTTCATCAAATAATTTCGTTTCATGATAAACTTGAAATCAGCGCCACTCACCACTTGGCGGTGTTGACCCAGAAAAAAAGCTCCCGGAACTAACGCGTTCTGGGGCGTGTTTCCCGCGGCGATGGCCGGCAGCATTTCCATCAGGCACGCCACGGCCTTTCCGGTTTCTCCTTCCTCTCGCGAGTCTTGCGTCACGGCCGCGTCGGGAAGTGTCCTCCGGGCTCGGAGCTGCCCGGCTGGAGCGTTCGGTGTGCGCGGGAGGAAGGCGTGAGCTCTGTGCCAGGTGTCCGTGCAGCCCCGCGCCGGTCGGGAGGTGGTGCTGTG